AAATGGCATAGCTGGCTTCTTAGGAGTTGGTTGAACGGAGATCTGAGGGGAAGAGCTGTCCAGCAAGAGCAGATGAGCTTGGAGGATCCAAAGAAAGGAAAGGCAGCCACCAGATAGGATGGTGATAAAAAATAGAGTGTGGAGAGGAAAACAAGGGCCACCAGGCTAGCAGTTATTCTATTCTAACAGCAAGAGAAAGCTGCTGGAAAGTTTTTCACCCAGGAATGGCTTCTGTAGGGTTCATTAGATTCTCATTTCCTCTGGTTTCTCTTTATACGCCTTACTTCAGAAGCCTTCCCTGAACAACCTAGCAAAATGTACCCGGTCCTGCTTTGGCCCTCCTCCAGCCCTTACCCTGCTTTCAAGGTCCTTACCAGGACACAATGTCACATATTTGTTTTCTTGATGGTTGACTTTTCCTATACACCAAAGAACAAGTGGCATCTTATTGTTCACAGCCACCTCCTAACTAGCTAGAACAGCCCAGGGAGTTCTAGAAAACAACAGATACTCATGAGTAGCAAAATGCTTTATCCGAGTACAGCAAAAAAGCCCAAAACAAACAAATTTTTAAAAATATCTTTAAAATTGTATACAGGTCTTTTAAAAAATGAGGGAAGAGTTTTAAGGCATATTGTATATAAAATACTCTGTGTTAAAAAACACACACACACACACATGCTATACTGATAATGGTACAATTTGGAATGTACAGAGAGAGAGAGGAAGAAAAGATGGATAAATGCTGATATAAGTAGAAAGAATTATTTTTGGGGCCGGGGATTTAGCTGAGTGGTTTCGCTGCCTAGCTCTAAAGCACAAGGTCCCAAGTTCGATCCCTGGTACCAAAAAAAAAAAAAAAAAGAATTCTTTTTGGGCTGGGGATTTAGCTCAGTGGCATCACTCCTACCTCAAAAGTGCAAGGTCCTGAGTTCGATCCCTGGTATCAAAAAAAAAAAATTCTTTTTAAGGGTATATAAAAACTTAAAACAGTGGCTATTCTTTGAAAAGAATGGGGAGATGAGAAAAAATTTTACTTTCATATATCTTTCTGAATTATTTGATTTTTGAAACACCAACTGGCATTTTTTAATTTTTAATATGGAACGCTTCACCAATTTGTGTGTCATCCTTGCACAGGGGCCATGCTAATCTCTGTTTCATCGACTTGTACTTTTAAAATTAAAAAGAAAAAATCAAAACTCTCTGAGATAACTAGCAGAATAAACAAGAATGTATTGATTCATCATTACTTGTTTTCACAATGATGGACAATAGCTCCAATGGTTCATTTGCACATACACAATGCATGAACACAGACATCCATTTATGTATATCGATGAAAAACATATTTGCATTATGCTGTTAGATGCAGTGGGACAAACTGAATGCCTCTGATAAAATAGAGTAGACAGAGCTCATATTCCTAAGCAAGCTTCCAGTAAAAGCCAATGTTTAATTTGTGATTACAGAATTTGAAAACTGCATTCAACAATACTTGATGAACCCTAGCTGTCATTGCTTAAGTGACCTTTTTTTTTTATTCAAAGAGACATGAACCCTTTCACTGTTTCCCAAAGAAGCATCTTTTGAACTCTATTAGCTGTGCTGCCATTTAATATTAAATGACAAGTTTTATAAGCTGACTGATGGCTTCTATGGAAGAGTTAATGTTCAAAATCTGATGTACACAACTTTGTTCTCTACCGCAAAATATATTTGACTTAATTTATGCTCCAGGGGATTATACAATAAAAGTTACCTAGGGAAAGAGAATTATATTCTCATATATATTTCATATATTAAAAAAAAATTTTGTGGTGCTGAGCATTAAATTCAGGGCTTTGTACATACTAGGCAAGTGTTTTACCACTGAACTACACCTCCAGACCCATCCTCATATATTCTTAAGAAAAGTAAAATATGCTATAGATTATATTCAAATAACTCTTTCAAAGCAATTAATTATTCCTCTTTTACTTCAATCATATATCTCCTGTGCACTACAACTATCTCTCCTCTCTAAATGTTACCATGGGGAAAAGAATTTTACTTACATAGTTCACTAAATCTGCTCTAATCTATTCTAACTTTAGGAATGTTTACCATATACACTTTATTTTCTTAGTTGCAAATGTATTTCTAAAGCAAGCATTCTAATTGCCATTTACCAGAAAGTCAAAGAATGGTCACATATTTTGCAAGTCAATTCAGGAGAAAAACAGAAAGCTCGATTAAGTCCAATTTAGGGAAGGTTAGGCTCAGCAGGCCTAAACACACAGACAGAGCTGACCACTCACCGGTCCGGCGTTCAGCATTGTAATCTTAATAGCAGGAAACAAAAGCAACCCAGGGAGAAGGAAGATTACCTGTCCCAACTAAAACCACCATAGTGCTTCTCTTTTAAAAGACCCATCAGAGGACACATACCACGTTGAAAAGTTTTAGATCCCTCGTGGTCATTTGCAGACTAAAGAGAAAGGCTTTATTACTAAAAAGTGTCATCCTGAAATAAAAACACATGCAACTACACAGCAATGCTAAAGCTGTGATACTCCCTAACCTGTTAGAATAATTTCAGACCTTGGAAGGGTTTGGTGGGGTAGGCTAAGATGTGGTGGGCTTGGAAATCAGGTTCACAGGACAATCAAGACTAATCACATAGGGTGGTGCTTTCAGCCAGCCTACGGAGAGGCATCCACACCACAGAGAGGTGTACTCTGGCAAATGAAGACTCACAGGCCCCGCCACTTCAGCGGGTAAGGGTAGCCAACAAAAGGGAGCGAGTGCTAAGTCACTTTCTTACAATGAAACCACGTCTCCAGCTCAAAACACTAGTGACTTCAATTGGTAGCTACCAATATACCAAAAACACCATGATGTAGGGCAGTGCCAAGCCCTGTGGAATGCCTCTGAACTAGATTAAGCCACTAGGCTAGTAATTAAACTAACTTTATATAGCAGAAAGCTCTTGCTCAAACTCGAGCAATCCTGCTCATTTCAGGAAAGCAATTTTAGCACAAAAGTGGAAACAAGCAACTTCTGAGCCTCAATTTCAGCTCAAATTCCATGGTTGGCAGCCTCTGCTCACCCAACTACAAAATCAGGATACCAATGACTTCCAAGGAGTGTTAGAGGATTAAAATTATGAAATAATGTGAAGATGAAAAGCACTAAGTAAGTCATGGTCTTGTATCATCTGCAGGTAGTTTAACAGTCTGTTTCTGTATCAGTAAACAAGTTTTTACCACTCTATCCACCTAGACATTTCGATAACAGTTATTGCCATAGTACCCAAGTGCTTTTTACCAGTCTGTTGAAAGACTGCTTGGAATCCTGTCAAAATGACAAGCTGCTACATCGTGTTATAGACTGCAAGAGCCTAAAAATTTAGAAAAGAAGACGACTTCCCTTCAAAATGATCTACGTTATGCTTCATGACAATACTGTTTATTCCTTACAGCTGGGTGATAAATTGGTAAACAAAATGGCTGTAGAACAGTGTTCACTGCACAATCACAGATTGAGCATCTTATGTACACGTTTTTAAAAATCAGCATGTTTAGTCCTAAATACTACATATGTCTAAGTAAATAAGGCAATTTTTTTTAATAAAGAAAGAAAAATTTTCCCTAACATCAACCCTATTAAAGAAGATTATGTTTGATCCTTACAAAGGCTCAGATTATGGGGTACTCTTCCAGTCCCTTGACCTTGAAAAGTGCCATTTGGGGAGGCCAAATTTCAAACAACCTCAGTTATTATTAATTCTAGATACTTACTGAAGTCATCTGTAGAACTTAGGCTAGAAAAAAAAATAAAAAAACTAAACCAAGAATTTCTGGAATAGGATCTCACAAATTCTGTGCTGAATATCAAGACCAGTCATTTAAAGGTTCTCTAAAAAGCTGTATGGCAAGTTACTGTACATTATGGGAGTCAGTTATAATCACACAAGATGAATTGGGAATAAGAAAAGAGTAATCTACTGTCTCAATGCTATGTGTGCAAGGAATAAAATTCTCAGGAACAATATTGTACATGATGATCAAAAGTGTTTCATCTTGCACATTTTGGGGTAAAAAGGAAGACAATGCCTTCTGCAAAATCATGTTAACACATGATCCAGAAAGTGGATACTGACCAAGTCCTGGTTTAAAATTCATATGAGTAATTTGAATAAAACATTTGATTCTCTTGCAATGAAACCACCTGGCTGTGTGCAGAAATACAGTAATATTAATTTTAAGTAACTGCATTTATTTCTGTTTAAATAAATAAAACTATTAAATAGAGATTGGATTTTCCTCAGATTCTTAAAGGTCTGCTTATTCAAGTAAGTTTAGAACATTTTTAAAGAATCTTTAAGACCTTTTGTTTGATAATGCCTTAAGGCCGGACATATATCTGCAGATGATCTTAGTATATTCCATTAGAACTTTAAAGTAGGTAAGTGTGAATAGCAACTTTCAAGAACTCTGAAAGTTTCATTTTGCAATCATTTTTAAAAACCATTTTCCAAATGAAAAAGAGTTAAGACTATAATAATCAAGATGAGGCACAGAAATAGAAAACATGGACAAGGCCAAAATGTACAGGATCAGATAATACTCTAAGTTCTTCAGCTGGTGTGGGCTTCTCCTTAAACTGAGGTCAACCTATCTCCTAAAACATGGTGACAGGGATCCCTGCCTGCATCTGTCCCTCATGTGGGACAGCACTGAGAATTAGGTTGCTGCACCAGTAACAAATCTCAAAATAGCTCCAGCCAATGTTGTAAAAAGTTATCTCAAACAATTTTAGGTGGTGCCATTCACATGTTCATCCTGTGTCTGTATAACTTTAGGGGCAGCTTTTTGGTAGACAGCATTAGGGGTACCTCCTAACTTGCATGAAGATGCCCTAAGGGTTCCACCAGTATGTTTTCTTTCATGCAATGAACAGTTAACTAATTTATGAAATGAGAAAGCAAGGAAATAAATGGTTGAAAGCAGAGTTACCTTATAGATGCCAAAGAACCCCAGGTCTCGTACAACAGACAGAGCACTGACCCGAGGACCAGTGGTGATTTCTCCAGCCACCTGCAAACGGATCTTGACAATTTCTAAAGGATTTGTAAAAATCACCTGTGAGCCTCCAGCCTGAAGAGAAAAAGAAAAGGTTTGGGATCAAAGCTGGGAAATGGTTAGGAATTATTCTCAACATAACTCAGAATACTCTATTCTCAAGAGGCTGCCTGTCTTTTTCCTATGGATTAAAGCAGTTGGCAATTACAAGTCTGAATCAAAATATAGTTAATATCTAGGAAGCCTCATGTAAAGAGGCCCTATCTCTTTCACGAAGAGGTTGAAAGAGGCCACAGGCCAGAGGAAGACTTGTGTTGGCCTCACTAGTGTCCTCATGCTAAAATGACAAAAATTCCTTGAAGCACAAGCACCGGCTGGCCCCCCAGGGCTCAAAGCCAAAGCCACAAATGCAATAATAAAATACAAAGCAATGAGTAGCCAAATAAAGACCCTCCAGAAATGAGGGGACAAGTTTGCAAAGGTTCTTGAATGTAGAACAATTGCAGAGAACATATAAACTTAGATGGAAAAGAAAAACCTAAAACAATCTGGTGGATTATGAAATACCATGGAATTATTCTTAAAATTTTACTTATATATTACCTGTCTATAGAATTATTCTTTTCACATAAGATAAATGGCATTTCAAAGAAGTAAAAATATGCATTAAATCAATTACGGCCCAGACTTTGAACACTGTGTGTTATTTCATTCCAGCAATGGCTGTGTGCCACACCTCCAAGATCATCAGTGAAATCTTTAAAGTGCACTGCACAGGAAATTTTAAGCTAGCTATTTTGAAGCTAAGCCTATATTTATCATAAGCAATTATATTCTTTTTTAGCGTACTTCAACCTGCTATTCCTTGTCACAAATATACTAAATTTTTGTATGATCCAAATACTGATTAATATGCGGCACAATTCAGAGTATGCATTATGTAGTGAAGCAAGACCACAGACAATGGTGGTTATGTTTCACAGCTTAGGAGATGCTATCGTGGTAACAGGTAAACTATGGGTCAACACCATATAAAACTACCTCTTAGAAGGTTCTCTACTCCCAGTTCCTAATGTATGTAACTTCACAAAATGGTCAGTATTAATTAAAACTTGCCACAACGATGGTCTTTGAAGTACTGTTTATGACAGTTGATGCTAAGAATTAGAAACAACATAAATATCCAGTGGTAAAGATGAATTAAATGAATTTGAGTACATCCATGCATTGAGATGCTATGCAGCTGATGAAAATATTGTAGAAAAATGTTCTACATGTATTGTTAAGCAGAAATTCTCCCATGTTTAAAATGATATATGTTCTTCTCCCAACATACCTACCACCACACAAGACATCCTGCAGTGTGGTGGTTTGGAGGTAGAAAGACTACAAATAGTTATTTTGGCAATACTTTTAATTTTTCTATATAGATCATGAGTTACTTCTGTAAAGAACAATAAATAACTGCACATAACTTATGCAATATACACAAATGTTAACCAAAAAATCAAAGAAAAATGTTCAGTCACTAAATGAAATTATTTTACCATTTTTATCAATTTGATGGATTAAGCAGGACATACTTGTTTTTAAACAAGGACAAGGGTTTTCCCTCTCTCCATATTCACATGGCAATAGTTTTCTCCTATGCTTGTTAGCCTCTGGCTTCCTCTCCTTGTCTGCTTCTCCCATGGTTTTCCCATCAGCTCGGCAAGAACAACCTGGACTGGATTCATCAAAAGGCCAAAGAAAGGGCCTCAAGAAGTAGGAAGCAGAGAGTGACAGGATATACCTGAAGCCTGGTGTGTCATTATGGTCCACATAAAGACATCTTGTTCCCCATTCCACCACTCGGAACAAGTAAGCTTTGCTCATACTATGTTACCACCAGGATGCATATGGGAAGAACAGAGCCCTGCCTGAGTGTACAGCTACCATTTCCTATGTGATATGGAGGGAATGGCAACCATGCTAAGTGTACAGTAAGAATTCTCTTTGTGCTTCTGGACCAGAAATCTCTCCATATGAATGAAATCTGTATTTAGAGACTTACAAAGATGAACAAACATTTCATATAAGAAAACTGTTTCATTTATAAAAAAAGAAAAAGAAAACTGTTTAATGGAGACAGAAATGTTGAGAAAGGCTTATTGGTATGGAATTAGTCTGAGGGTTGATTTCTCAAAACTCCAGAAGTAAAATTACCTCTACCAGGGGTAAAATGAAAAGCAATCAGAGAACACGGATCTTGGAGAAGCAGAATGAGTGTGTCCTCATCCATGTAATGCCAACAGTGGGCAGTGAGGTAACTGAGAACCCCACATGAAGATCCAGCCACAGTTCCTCTGTCTGTCAAAGTATCTCACTTACCATGAAGAGCAGAGATGACAAATGTCTAGAAGCCAGTACAGAGCTCATGACAGAGCAACTGTCCCACGAGGCTGGGTTTTTTCTCTTTTTCCCGAGGTGCCCGTTCTCCCTGGCTGCAAGTCATGATCACTTGGAGAGCTTTTAAAAGTAGTGACTGCTGCACCTTGCTCCAGACAACTAAGTAAGAACTTCTGTGCTGGTCTTAAAAATTTTTTTTTCTATATAATCATTATGTGTGAGGGTGTTAAAAATCCCTTTACTATACTCTCTCTAGGATCCCTGTCAATTTTGAGAATCAAAATTATTAGGCTCCTTAAAACTGTGATTTCTAATCCTGGTCTTGCACAGTATTTCGGAGAGTAACTTTTGTATTTTACCTCTGATCTCCTAAGCAACTAGTGCCATTATTAAAGGATACAATTTTTATATCTTTACTAACATTCATAGAAGTTGTTTAAAATATGTATGATAAAAATATGAACTTAACTCCTCAACTTTAAGCCAACAGAAATACACAAATTCTATACTACAGCAAAATGAGTTCTCATCCCGCAGGATGATGTAAGAGGCAAATCCACTGCAGAGAGCTGCGGGAAACATGCATCAGAAAGAAAAAGTGCAGTGATGCCAGGAAAAAACAATGATGTACCCACAGCTTCTGGTGGACTCAGAAAAAAGAACCTACAGACTCAAAGTGGCACACTTAAAGGTGTCAAAGATGAAATGGGGCCTTTGGAGTCAAGTTGGAAGGAAATGCGAAACTCTAAGGCACCGAGAGAAGATGTTTATCATCAGATGCACAGTGTCCAGGTATCATCACCGTGGCCGGATCGCTGAGCAGCACACTGCCTGCTGCTCTTCCAAATCCTGGTCTATTATTCATTCACAGTACCTTAGCCATGCTCCTCCTCTGCAAAGATCAAAGACAGCTGAATTGGCAGACAGCGAACATGAACACCTATTGGGTACAATGTCTTTGTGTCCTTCATCACTTGAGATCTCTGGCAGTGTGAAGATACTAGCCTTTTTGTGTGTGCAATTTTGTCACAAATCATTTCCCTATGACATTTTGGAGCTGTGGCAAGTAAGACAGCGAGATTTTCCACGCTAAACCCAGTGTGGCATATTGTACTTACAGTGGGGACCCTGACTTCTCTACGTTTCCTGCTAGTTTTTGTTACTACATCTGAGAAACAAACACATATACCTATTACAGACTAATCTCTTCATTCACATATTCGTTTACCAAATATTTATAAGCAATCATGTTCAAAATTTGTCCTGGGAACTACAAGGAGACAGGATGACTGCAAAATCGTTCCTGTTTCTACAAACTTGAAGGGCCAAGGTAATTGATATTCATCAAACATCCACTATTGGTTACAAGGGTGTTGCTTTGTACACATGTATCTTCAGTCCATGAAAAAAGTGTCTTTCCCGATTTCACGTGAGAGAAAAATGAAGCAGGGAAAGATTAAAGCAATTTTTATGGGCTGAATTGTGTGCCACCATAAATCACAGTTTACTATGACTATCCCCTAAGACATCTTAACCCCTAGGGCTTCAGTATATTCTATATGCATTTGCACATGAGGTCTTCATTAAGGGAATTAGGTTTTTAAGGTGTGCCTTAATCCTCTCACTTATTCTTACAAGTACAGGAATTTAAATATATGCATATGAGTGCAGATAAGACCATGTGAAGCTGGAGAAACAGGGAGAAGACAGCTGTCTTCAAGGCAAGGAGAGAGACCTCAAGAAAACAGTCCTGTCAACACCTTGATCTTGGACTTCCAGCCTTCATAAAGGCAACAAAACAAATTTCTGTTGTTTAAGCCACCTTGTCTGTGGTATTTCATTCTGGGAGCTTCAGAAAACCAATATAGCAGTTTGAGCAGGGCTATATCAAGAGCAAGCAGAGGAAAAGATTTTTGATGGAGTTCCGTACCTACATGACTCACAAATACTGGAACTGGCATGTGAGGGAAGATAATTATCACATATGATAAGAGTTAAGGGCCAGACAAATTGGTATGGCAGTTCAAAGGCAGGCAAGGATTCTCTTGGCTGGAATACTCTGAGAAGTAGTAAAGCACATAGGACGACAGTATGCTGGCTGGCAACTGAAGTGGATGTAGGGTTTAGGTAGTCCAGGTGGAGGATGCACAACAACACAGTGACAAGAGCATGTTATGCTTGTATGAGTAACAGAGCTGGCACTATGTTCATCAACTGCCACTTTAATAAGGATGACAATTATGAGATCTACTTCATCATCTGCTCAGATTTACTAAGGGTTTAGGTACCAGAAATTGTGCTAAGTGTTTATAAATGTGTTTGTCTGTTTAGTCTTTATAATATCATAAGGTAGGTAATAATATAATCCTGATTCTATAAATGAATGAACTGAGAGGAGTAAAAGAGATGATTTAACTTGCTTGAGGGCACACAGGTAGGAAGAATAGGCTTGGATTCTAAGCTAGAGTTGCTGGAGACCAGAGCCTGAGCTACATTTCTTAGCAAGCAGCATGAAGGAACAGAGCCCTTCACTGTAGATGGCAAGAAGACTGAAAGCAAGGAGAATCAGACTGCTGGGCCATTCAGGGAAGGTCCGGTACACCAGCCTGATAATCAGGGCTGCATACTAGGCATGTGGCCCTGAGCTTACCCTGGGAAGAGAACTAGTGAACAGAATCTAGTACTGT